GCCTCGCCCCAGACTGACGTCGCTAACCCACAGCTGCCTCCCCAGCGAATAAAAAGGGGGCACATTCAAACAGTCCAGGGTCCCCAAGAGAGGCGCCCTGGGTGTAGAGGCCCTGGGTGTGCCAGTGGCCCACGCTGGTCTTCTCCTAAAGAAAACGTGACCACCACCTGGGGAGAGGGGAGAGGGCAGCTGGTGAGGGCCACTGCGGCCCCAAGGCGTGGGTGGCACTAACGGCTAGCCCGGTGCCTTGCAGCTCCTGCTCACGGACTGGCACCGGGCGCCCTGGACCGCGGAGGGGGCTGGGTGCTGTCTGGCTCACAGGATCGGGGCTGATGGCCTAGGGGGTGCGATGGCTGTTGAAGTTTCTCTCCCTCCCTCCTTCCTTGCTCGCCCCCTTTCAACAGGAAAACAGTTACTGCACATCTATAAGTCAGGCACTTGGGCATCAGAACATTTGCTTTAATAACCCTGACATATACATTCGTCTGTTTCTATGGCTAGGAAAGATAACTAAAGTTCAGAATGGGTTCTTTGCCCAAGGTTACCTAGTTACCAGAAGGGGGACCTTGGGCTCCGCACCAGGTCTTCATGCTGAGCAGGCTCTGTCTGCCTGATTCTATGCAGGCCACCTGCTCAGGCGTGATGTGGCTCATGGACATCCCCAAGCCACCACCAGCAGTCCCTGCTGCCTTCTCTGGCAAGCAGGCTGTTTCCGCACCTGCGCCTAGCGGCCGGCAGAGCTCAAATGATGGACGGCTAGGCTCAGTGGCACTCGCCAACCCCCTTCAAAACGTGCAAGGCTGTCTGACCTCTGGCTGGCTCCTTGTCTTCTTGGTCAAGCATGGCTGTGGGATGCTGGGACCTGACTACCCTCTCTTTCTGGTGTGGCCTGGAGCAATCTCAGGTGGAGGGCGGGGCTCACTTCCTAGAACCACTGGCTGTGACAGCATTGACAAGAAGCTGGAACCAGGAGCAAGAGCCAGGCCTTGAACCCACGCAATGTGACAGACATCTTAGCTGCCTCCCCGCCGTGGTCCCAAGGAGCCTCGGTTTCTGGCTGTCCTTGAGGCAGATCTGGACACGTTGTCCTTTTCCCGTTGACCTTCTGGAACCCCAGCACCCAGGAGGAAGGTGTAGGCTCCTGGTTCCTCTGAGGAACTGAGGCTGTCCTTCGCTGGTGTGCAGCTTGTAGAGCGAGGCTCTGCTCATCATTGGGTGCCATCTCCAGCCGAGGGCCCCAAGGGATTCCTGAGCTCCAAAGTCTACTTCCTGGTCCCCTCCTCCGGGGGCCAGGGTCCCCCAAGGAAGGGCTTCATCTAGGGTCCAGCTCTGCCCGAAGGCACACTGACTTGGGCCGGATCCAGCTTTCCCTGCTCCAGGTCTTCCTGCCCCCCAAGTTCCATCCACCACTAGGGGGCTCTGCAAAGCCCACCTTCTGGAGACACCTTGCAGGGCACCTAACCTTGCTCAAAGGCCCTATGCCCACCAACACCGGGACGCTGGTGTAACGGGAGCAAACCACCAGTACTCTACTGAGCAGGGAGTGGAGGCATCTGGAAAGCTCCCAAGTCCCCACGCACTCTCTTGCAGCATGCGCTATGCTATCAAAGACCCTCCAGCTGCCTTTGAGAAGCACTTGGACCCCTGGCCATTGGTAGGCGGAGGGAGCGGAGGTGACTGGGGGAATGCATGTGGCCATGTGAGAATGGGGGTGAGTGTAAGGATGTCTGCACAGCGTGCCTTCAATACCATGTGTGGCCACTCATTACTCAGGGCACGCACGCAGCGGCAGTGGATCTGTATCAAACACTATTTACGGTACACACTGGCACACACACACACGTACACCCACGAGGGCCGGCGGCCATCTAGACCAGACTGTGTATGTTAAGGCATAATTGCTACATGTCAGGAACTCTCTTAAATAGTTTAGCCCTTGCTTAGGAAATTCCTGAAATCAGCTTCTCTAACAGAAACACTCCAGTGGGAAGAGGGAGAGAGGAGAAAGAAAATGCAAGATGAGCCCACTGCCGCCTCTGACTCCGTGCTGTGGGAAGATGACCAAACTTCAGAGCTTTGGAAAAAACATCGGGCTGGAACTGCAGACAGATGTCTTCTCCTGGGGCATCCGTGGGCAGTGCGGGTCTGGGGGGCTTCCTCCTCTCAGCTTCTCCAAGCCCCCCACCGATTCCTGCATTTCATTGTCCTTCCTGCAGGGTTTCTCAGCCTCAGCGCCTCGGAGTCCTCAGGACTTTCTGTTCTCCAGTGCTGGCTCCCTGCCTCACGGGCGGCCACCTGCCCTCTATGACTGAGTCTGGGGGGCTTTTTTCCTCTGCTGGCTCTTGGCAGCTCTTGAAGTTGGAAGGCAGGGAGGCAGGGAAGAGGTTGCTTACAGCCGGCTTCAGAATAAGGCTCAGGTGCCTGGTGAAGCAGCCACCGAACTTGCTGGATTATCGGTGAGAAAGTGACCAAAGCCATAGCCCACCCCTTGCGGGGCCGGGCTGGCACTCCCCCAAGGTGAGGCTTCTGACCGCTGTCTAGCTGCGAACACCTGCCCGCACTCAGGTGAGCCACATGTGCACCCTCTTGCCGCCACGTTCTCCAGCACACAGCAGCCACCGCACACACCTTCACAGCAGGCAGACAGCACACTGTTCCTGGAACGGAGCTCACGCCACAGAAAGCCCACAGCAAGGGCACAGCAGCCTGCTTTCTTTCATGTGTCCACCCGATAATGGAGCAGCGGCCACCAGAAGCTCCCAGGCGCCAGGCCTGCCTGATCCAGGACTACTAGCGAGACGCCCTCTTTAGCTGCCTGTCCTTCCAGCGAGCTCCAGTCCCAGGGTACTGCCTCCCAGAACCCCATAATTTTTTGGGTCTGCTGTCTTCCCAGGCCCACCTGAGACAGGAGAAGGGGTGTTCAAACACACACAACAACGAAATCACCCTGGCATTCCCACCTCCTGTTCCCAAGCGGGACTCCCGCAGATTCGTTTCCATTTGCCCCAGGCGCCCAGGGCCCACCTCCGCCACCCTAGACCCAGCGGAGTGCTAAGGGGCCTCGGCTGGACTGGTAGGGTGTAGCTCAGAACAGCAAGAATCTGTAGGTCCCCGTAGTCCCACCGGCCAACTGCCGGGGAGCGCAAGGCTGCACACGGGTCAACGCCAGTGTGCGTGCACCGAAGCCTGAATCTTAATTCGTTATTGGGACATCTCGGTGAAGGAAAAGACAGGCTCTGTCGCCAAGCCATTGTGTCCAGCCCCCGCTGAAACTCCCACGTCTCTGAGCTCCATCTCAGGGTAACCGAATTCTGGTTATCACAAACAAGGCATCGCTCCTTACGTGGTGCAGAGGTTTGTAAGATCAGCACGCACTTCCACCAAGCTCTGTTTTGGAATAAGCTCTTCAGGCCGTTATCCTCAAATTTGACTCATGTAAAGCCGAAAACCCCGGGGGCAGCAGTGGCCGCTCTCAGTTATCATAGGGCGTTTTGAGAAGTAAAATCGAAACTCGCGTGGATGCAAAAACAGAGCCAGTCCCACGTGCGGTAACGGCTTGTGTGAATCCCGGCACCCCAGGCTCCCGGGTGCACGGTCCGCAGGCACAGGCCGACGGAAACGCCGAAAGCACTGCCCTCCAGGACCCCACTGCACCGCTCTCCTCCATCCATGCGTGAATCACTCCCCTTCCCAAAAAGAGAGGGCGCAAGCTCTGCTGAAATTCTCCCTCTTTGAACTAACTGAAGTCGTGCGAGGCGGAATGAACACAGGTCCGGATTAAAAGAACAAGGAATTTATTGGGGCATCGACAGGGCACACGCACAAACAGGACAAAAGTGCTCTAGTTCTCGCTAGAAGATCTGGTCCCCCGAACGGCTCACTACACAACAACCAGGTCCGGGCTGTGGGCCCGCCAGCTCTCGGCCGGCCGCAAACCCGCTTGCGCCGCCGCGGCCCGGTTTCACATTTCTCCTCCCCAAGGTGGGGAGAAGCTAGCCGCTAGCAAAACAGCGATCAGGGCGGCACTGGCCCGTCCCGTACCGTGCGCCCGGACACCCGGGCTTGCAGCGCAAAATCTGGGAAACATTTTTCTCTCCTTTTTTCCCCACTAGACGAGGAAAAGGGGAAAGTCCTCTAATTAGTAGACGAACCCATATTGTTTCCTGGGTCTCTTCTCCTACCTCTCCGGACATAGCTTTTTGAAGGCGCGAGTGGAACATCTGCGAATTTCGCACAAGAGAAGATGAGGCACGTTAAAGCTTTTGGTTTTCGTGTCTGGTTTTTAGCAAACTTCAAGGCCACAGTACTTCGCCGGTTGTCCCAGGCGAGTGTTTTTTTTTTCTTTTTCTTTAAAAAAATGTATTTTTCAATGCTATCTAAAAGAAAGAAAAGCACTCAAACAGGCCCACTGATCCCTGGAGCAGAAAGTTAAGCCAAGCGCCCGGGGCCTGGACGCGCCGAGAAGCGCTGGCCTGGAGCGCGCGGAAATCACGCAGCCACTGTGCGCCGGGGAGCCGGTGGCAACGGGAGCGCAGGCCCGGAGCCCGCCGCCCGGCTTCCCCGCTCGGGCCCAGCCCCGTCCCGCCCCGCGGGCTCGGCAGACACGGCCGTCCCTTGGGCGCACGGCCCGGCCCGGTGGCCGGATCAGCCCGGCGCTCAGAAAGCCGAGTGCGGAAAGCCGCGCGCAAGCCCACCGACCTGAGAGAGGCGGCCGGAGGCCCCGCAGTTCGTCGGCCTCGGGGCTTTCTCTCCGCTCTGCATTTTGGCAGCCGAGACGTGGGGGCTCGAGGAGGAGGCGAGGCCTTCCGAGGAAGCGCGCGCAGAAGCCTCTCCGGGGCGAGCACGGCGGGAGAAGCAGGGACGGACAAAGAGGGGCCGTGGGCGCCGGCCGGGTGGGCGGCCCGCCGCGGGCACGCCGTCCGCGAGCGGCCGAGACGGCAGCCGACGTCGCGCGATGCTGCGTCCTCGCCCCGCAACGGCGGGCCCACGCGCGGGGGCTCTCAGAGGTCGAGTCGCGAGTGCAGCGCGCCGGGCTTGCTGTCGTGGTCCCAGTACGAGCAATGCATCATGGCGAGCTCGGGCTGCCGGGCGCAGGCGAACTGCAGGCCGGGCGCGCCGGTGGGTGCGGGCGCCGGGGGCGCGGCGGTGGCCGGGCTGGCGGGGCTGAGCTGGCTCGGGGGCGGCGCGGCGGCCCCGTGGTGCGGCGGGGCGGGCGGCGGGGCGGCGGCCGCGTGCAGATGGTGCGCGTGGGGATGCGGGTGGGGATGCGGGGGCGGCGGCGGCGGCGGCGGGGGCGCGGCGGCGGGGCCGCCCAGGCCGTTGTACGAGTTCACGACGCCGGGCGGCAGCGCCATGCCCTGCACGCGGGAGTAGGGCCCGTAGGAGGCGGCCGGGCCGGCCAGCCCCTTGACCACGGCGGCCGCGCCGGGGCTGCCCGGGCCCGCGGCCGCCGCCGCCGCTGCCGCCGCCGCCGCGGCCGCCGCCATCTGGCACGAGGCGTAGGGCATGGGAGAGGGCGGCTGCGGCAGCGGCCACGAGTTGTTGAGGAACCCCGACTGCAGGTACTTGGGGGGCGCCAGGTAGCCGTAGCCGTCGGCCGGCGCGCCCGCGACGCCACAGCCGCCCGCCGCCGCCCCGAAGAGCCCCTTGCCGGGCTGGAAGTGCGCGGGCGGCGGCCGGAAGGGCCGCTTCATGCGGCGGCGGCGCCGGTAGTTGCCCTTCTCGAACATGTCCTCGCAGGCCGGGTCCAGCGTCCAGTAGTTGCCCTTGCGCTCGCCGCCGCCCTCGCGCGGCACCTTGATGAAGCACTCGTTGAGGCTGAGGTTGTGGCGGATGCTGTTCTGCCAGCCCTTCTTGTTCTTTTCGTAGAACGGGAACTTGGCGATGATGTACTGGTAGATGCCGGACAGCGTGAGCCTCTTCTCGGCGCTCTCGCGGATCGCCATGGCGATGAGCGCCACGTACGAGTACGGGGGCTTCTGCGCGGGGTCCGGCTTCTCCGGCGCGCCCCCGCCGCCCTCGCCCGGGCTGGCCGGCGCCTCGGGCTCCGTGGCCGCGCGGCCGCCCTCCGGGGCCAGCAGCGCGCCCGCCGCGGCCTCGGGCTCGGGGTAGCTGGCCATCGGGACCGAGCCGGCCGAGCTGCTGCAGGCTGCGGGGCCGGCCGCTCGCTCGCTCGCTCGAGGCCTCTGGCCGCGCGCCCCTCTCCTCGCCCAGGGAGCGCCCGCCGAGCGGAGCTCAGCCCCTGGCCATGGGGAGGCCGCCGCCCCTCCCCGCGCAGTCCCCGCCTCGGTGGGCTTCTTCCTCGCGCCCGCCCCTCCCCCGCCCGCCCGGCTTCCCGAGCCGCGACCCGCGTCGCTGGCGGAGCTGCAGCCCCGAGTGCGCCCGCAGCCTCGCTCCGTTCTGATTCGTATGGGCTCCGCCGAGTTCCGCTTGCGTCAAGCGCCTTCGCCCCTATAGCGGGGCGGCCAGCGGCGCACGGGCGAGTTCATCTCCAAGTCACTGTTTGCAAACGCCCCGCGGGGCCCGGACCCGCCGGCCCCGGCGCGCCGCACCCCGGGGGCCCCGCGGGTAGCCCGGCTCGCGCTCCCCCGAGCCCCGAGAGCCGCCGGCTGCTCGCTCTGCCGATCCGGCCAGGAGATGTCGAGGGCTCCGGCGAGGTCTGCCCGCACCCGGCCCGTTGCCCGGCAGCTCGGGCCCCAGCGAGGACGGGCGCTCCTCCCAGCCTCCTCGCAGCTTCCAGGTGAAAGAAAACGACCCGCTGGCACTGCCCTTGGCTCCGCTTCTAGCTGGGCATCGGGGGGAGGGGCGAGCCGGCGAGGGGGGCCAGGCGGGGAGGGGTGAGCAGAGCTGCGCCGGGACGTTAGGAAAACGAGCAGAGGACTGCGCGTCACCAAAGGAGGAGACCTCAGACCCCAGCAGCCCCTCAGGGTGGCGGGACCGGGAGGCGGCCGCGGAGGGACCCTCGCAGGTCCCCTCTGCCCTCTCCCACGCTGTCGGTGGATCTGAGAACGGAGCCCCTGCGTTTAGAATCCTTTGGCGTTGAGTGTGCGCCCTCACACCCAGGAGCCGGTGCTGCTGGGCCGGCACAGGAGCGGTGGTGCCACAGGCTGTGGGAGGCTGTGTGTGACACAGGTGGAAGTCTTGGGGGTATGTCCTAGAGATGGGTCGAGACACCAGCCGTCCAGGGGCACGTGTGCTGGTGCGAAACGCACTGTCTCCTGTAGGAGCTGGGTGACTTGGATCTGCGAGGCGGAGGGACGCTGGCAGATGATGTTACATGCCTATCAGATCTCAGAGTGAATGTGCCTCTCGGCCCCAGCGGCTTCTTTCCTCCCCCTTCCCCTTTCTTTTCCAACTCTCCCTGCCCCCTGCCCTCCCCGTGAGTGTGGTCTACGGCAGATTTGAACGGCAGCAGGGAGGTACAGCTGTCTCTGTCCTGATGTCTTTCTGCTAAAGTGGCTCAGCGGTGCTGCGCCCTGTCAGCAGCAGCGCTTGGGGGACCCTGCTTGGTCAGCACCGGAGCCTGAGTGTCTCGGGCAATCAGCACTGCGCTTTTACACAGAGCCAGGCAACTTAGCCTTCATAGCAAGTGGCAGAGGGCTGGCTGGTTTCAGATCCTCGCTCCCAGAGACCGCTCACCCCCCAGGCCCAAAAGGACTGCTCTGAGTCCTGGACTGGCCAAAGCTGGCCCTCCCGTGTGCTCCGGGGTCACCTGCAAGCAGAGCCCTCGGTGGCCTGTGGCTCCAGCATCCGCAGGCCCCCTGCTTGTGCAGTGTGGTTCCCACGCAGTCCTCGAAAGGGGCTCTCTGGAATCTGGCATTTTGAAGCTGTCCCAGGAAGGGTCGGCAGGACAGCTGTGGCCCTGACCGCGTTTGAGAAGCTAGCCTCACTCTGCAACTCCCCTCCCGCTGTGTATTGAAAGTATCTCTGGAGAAGCTGGGTGGTTTTCCTGGCCCTAAGTTTTTCTTGCCAACCCCTGCGGTTGCTTTCAAAGTGGGAGGGCAGGTGCTTCTGCTCTTGCTCCCTTCTCTGCGCCCAGGCAATGGGTGGGAGCCTCGCTGGGCTCCCCCAGAGGCAGGCGCTGGGAGAGGAACAGCTGGGCCTGCGCCGCACAGGTGGGGGCTGCTCTCTGCTCCCCCTGACCACCCAGGCCGGCTCACTGCCCCCTCCCCCGCCCCCGGAAGACATTTCCGGCACTCCACCCGCCAGGTGTGACAGCATTGTTGTGTGTGTCATCACTTCCCTGCATTCCACACTCGGCTCGCTTTTCAGCCTTAAGGAGTGTGTGTGTGTGTGTGTGTGCGCGCGCGCGCGCGAATGGGGTAAGGGACAATTTCTCTAAAGGATCTTCTCTTGGATAGAAGGAGGCCTCCTCTCCCAGGTGCTGATTTCAGAGCGTCCTCGCAGAAGGGCACGCCCGCTGTTTGTGCAGCCACGGGTCGAGCTACATGGAAGCTCTCTCTGCAAGGTGTGCTGCCGTGGAGCTGTGGAAGGCTTAGACACCAGGCGAGGAAGCGCAGGCGGCGGCTCGGCTCCGGGGCGGCTCCAGGCCTCTGCCGCAGGAAGCTTGGGGCTGAAGGCGCCCAGGCAGAGGGTTAGAGTCTCCTCCTGGCCGCAGCTCCAGGTGGGTGAGGCGGGCGCCCCGGGAAGCGGTAGGGGCGCCTCTTTGGCTTCTCAGCTCCCTTGCGCACTGGCTAGGGCCCGGTTTCCTGGTGAGATCCAGGTCCCCTCCGACGGGAGCACCAGGAGCCAAGCTGTGCGGACTCGGGGCGTCCTCTTCCTGCCGAGGCTCCGTTCAGTGAACTCGGCCCGTCCTGCACACACCTCCGAGAGCCATGGGTCCCGAGTCAGCCGGGGTTCGTCACCTCTCCGGCACATTCCGCTGCTCCTGAGGTCGTCTCACCAGGGCGCCGCCTGCGCAGCGGGCACCAGGGACCGCCGAGTGGGCGCCGTTTTTTGTTGTCACCTGGTCGGTAGGCTGGGCCCAAGTTTCCTGTCCAGGCATCAAGGAAATCCATTCACTGGGCTCTGTTGGCAGAAGTTTCTCTCCCCCGGGGCTAGGAGTCCCGCCACAGCAGCGGGAAGGTAGCGTGGCCTCGACCCGAGGAGCCAGGCAGCTTTGCATGGCTCAGCTTGGGGCGCTCCTCCACCGTGTCCCCCTCCCCCGGGCTCGAGGTTCCCTCTCCTGTCTGGACCCCGCAACACTCACTGGCTTCCTATAGCCACCCAGTCCTAACGGGTCAGCGTCTGCGGCACGTAGTAGGACAAGAGAAACTGCTGTGTGCTGACCTCATCCCGTTCGGGTGCACACCCCTTCCGGCATCTCCGCTGCTCCCAGTGCACCTGTGCGTTCCCTGCCCCTCCACGCCGCTCGCATTTCTCCATTTCTCTTGGTCAGCCCTGAATCCCCTTCGGTTCTCTGACTACTCTCGAACTCATCTGTCATGCATGCTAATTCTAAACCTGCACCTTTTGACATGTCAGACTGGCCCTGCGCCCAGCTTACACAGGCTCCCGAACCATCTCCCGGCGCGTCGCCGCTTCTCGGAGCCTTCTGGGAGAGCCTGGCCCCAAGAAGCCCAGCCTTGTGGCTAGGGGAATGAGTTGCTCCTCAGATGCTCCCTGGCAGGCTTGCTGCCCGCAGTTCCTTCCAGTACACAGTACACACAGTACACAGTACCAGGCTCCAACTCAGAGGGCAGTTCCCGCTGCCTGGTGATTAGCGGTCACTTACCCAGTTATGTGTGCCTGCGCGCGCGCGCGCGCACACACACACACACACACATACACACACGAAGGAAAAAAGGAAAAAGGAGAACCCACTCCCCCCTTGAACAGTTGGTCAAGTGTCTTCTTGAATCGCCTTGCCCTGTAGGGGGCTGTCGCAGGGAAGCACCGGCCAGAGCTCCTGGCTGCCCCTTCACTCATTGAGGGGGTGCTGGGTCACATTGTGGGTGGTGCGAGCCTTTCTCCAGGAGGAGGCTAACAGGCAGAGAAGGCGCAGGGGGCTGGGTTCTGGGCCTTGGGGGGCAGCGATGACGTCCGTGGGAGGGAAGAAGAAAGGCGGGTTTTTGTGATTTGTAGTACTGGCCGCGTTTAGATTACCTTCCTGTAGAGAGTGTGTGTGTGTGTGTGTGTGTGTGTGTGTGTGTGTGTTGGTGTAACCTACAGATGGTGAGCAATGCACATCTCAGCTTGACATATTTTACACCTGGGTTAAAATACAGAACATTTTCACTAGAAAGTCCCTGCATCTCTTTTCCCAGGCAGTACTAACCTCTAAAGAAAACCTGAATTTTACTTTCTGTGTTTGCGTTTCTATCAGCTTGTGTTACCCACACCTGCTTTAAGCATCCTACAAATGGGTAGAATGTATACCCTGTTGCATCTTGTTTGTTAAGATCCAGCTCTTTATTGCAAAGGCAGAGTGACAGAGAGGGAGAGACAGAGATCTTCGTGTTTACTCCTTGAATGTCTATAAAATCCGGGGCTGGACCAGGAGCCAGTAACTGTGTTTGGGTCGCCCACATGGATGGCAGGGGTCGACACCTTCCAGATGCATTGGCAGAGGCTGGGAGAGGACACTGGCAGGGCTTCTGGCATCGGATGCTGGCAGCCCAGGCAGTGCTGCAGTGCCTGCCCAGTGCCGGGTTCCTTCTGCACAAGCGGTTTTTCGCGTTCCCTGCTCTCGGTGTGTCAGACACTCTGCTTTTTATCTGGGTGTAATATTCAATATATTTGTTAATCCATCTCTGTTGGACATTTGCTTCCAGCTTGGGGATATCATAAATAAGACTGTCCACATTTTTACGCATGCCTTTGGCGAGAGGTTTTTACTTCTCGTGAGTGAAGATCTAGAAGTTGGCACGTGAGTCTGTAGCATTAGTTGATATCAAACAAGTTGTGAAGTTCCAGATCCAGTACAGTGCCACAGACAGGTGGGAACAGGGCCTTGTCTTTGTGGTGGGTACCCTTTTAAGGCCCCATAAGCTTCTAGCTGTCATAATCAAGAGTACAAAAGGAAAGAGGGGTGGAGAGTGGTTAAGGTGCTGCTTGGAACGCTGCTTTCTGCAGCAGAGTGCTTGGGTTGGAGCCTCTACTCCACTTCTGGTTCTGCTTCCTGTCAATG